TATATAAGTTGTCAAGAGAAAATAGGTGAAATGCTGCAAATGACTTAAGTAGTCACATTGTGGTGACAACGAAGGAACATATCTTGCAAAAGCGGCAAGTTTCATGTGGAGGGATATTTTTACCACAGTAACCATATTTTGATGGTACATTTAGCAAAGTTGCTCAGATAGAATCTGTTTCTAAAACGTTGCTCACTCTGATCAGCATGATTTTCAATGGGTCTGATGTTACAGCAAAGCATGATATGTTATCTCAAAATCAAGCATGTCTCTCAGTTTCACAGGTGGTCATATTTTATTCGTGTAAGCGTCAACGAGATTTGAATAATATGGTGTTTGATTGCCACAGCAAAGCTCGAGAACTTCCTGTACATCTTTACCTAAGTATGTATTCACAAACTTGGCAGGCCAAGTTAGTTGATGAGATGTTTCAACAATTGGCATTGTTCTTGAAATTTAAAACACTATAGTACGTTCATTGTGCACACAATTTGATGACCTACACGATTGCAAAAGGAAGCTGTCCATGGAACAGGAATTTCCATATTCAAGCATCCTGATGATCATAACACTGGTCAGCTTTGTGATGGTACTTATTACAATGATGATGGTTTGAGAAAACAAAGGGCCAATTTCCCAGAAGAGTACTCGACAATCACACCAATAATGATGGAAAACGAGACTCCTCTTAGTCTGAAAACATGACTTGGAAATTAGTTGGTTCTCTGAGAAAAGTTATAAAATAAGGACAGACGTCGCTTGAGTTTGTAAGGTTGCGAATGATAAAATCCCCTCCACTATTTTATCTTGGTCAGCCTACCATGCCAACCAACATAATGACTTAGTAGTATTAATAACCATCTCATCAATGCTTCCCTTTTTTAAAGAAGATTCCCATTCTGTAGCCTTGATGTGCCATAGCATGAAGTTAGTAAAACATGGGGCCCATGGGCACCGACATTTGGACTTTAAAGTTGTATTGTCGGGAAAATTTGAAGTGTTTGACATGTTAAGTAAAATGTTTACTGTAATAAATGTAACCGCATTAGAAATTGTCTTGCCTATAGCAATTTTTAATGAGGACACATAACCATAAAAAGCCATATGTTGATCAGATCTAGTGTGCAATGTCTTCAAAATTAATTCAAATATCTTCAATTTAAAATATTGTCATCGGCATAGCTGGAAACCAGACATGAATGTTATTATTATGGCTAACTTATCGTATTATTAAACCAATTCTAAGGTACCAGGGTTCGGGAAATTCGGCACCTTCTCACTGAACAAGGACACAAACACAGGTAGAGTACGCGTCAACTCCTTAGTCTTAGTCGCTCGCCAAGAACATACCAAGAATGCCTCAGGGAAAGGCTGACCCAAGACTGCGTCTTTCATGGCGTTCTCGCAAAGACCAACTAAAACTCCTTTATTCACTTTCAAAACCTTAACCAATTACAAAGCAGTATAAAGACTCTAAGGCGTGGCCTTCACACATACATCCAATCACACAAAGTATTTAACACGCCATAATATCTGATTAATCGCCATCTATGTCAGGAATAACTTCTACATGAACCCGGCGCCACAAGTATTGGAACAACATTTCATAGTTGACATTTATATCCGCCAGTTGTTCCAGCATCTAATCGCGCTAACATACGAATGAAACTGACAAGCTATGAGCAGGGGTCATCGGTGAACGTCGCTACAATTGCCAAAAGCGGCTCGAATCCAAATACATGGACATATAAATCATGACATTATTGACACAAACAAACTTTGTGACTCTCGTTTTCTCGTACCACATTCGGAAAATTTTATTGACACGAATAAATTTGGTCTTTTTACCATTTGTTGATCTGTTTTGGCTGCCACACTCTCAACAATGTATTAACAAAAGTTCAATGTTCACATAGACTCGAGTCATACTAGCGCTGCTTTGATGTTGATCGTTGATGTTGATTGGGGCGAACTAATGGACTGTGCCCTACACATAGCCCTATGAAGTCACGGTAGTTTTGTATTCAACCCCACAAATAGCGACCATGCATTGGAACCGCATTCAAGACCATCGCTCTGAAATACCTGGTTTAATTATTCAATAGATAATCATTGATCAAACGGTATCATGTGGTCGCCATTTTGGGTGCTGTTACGAAAAAAAATAATAACTGCGATCATTTTGGCAGACTAATTTTAACGCCAGGTTTCCCAGATTTTTCTCTCAGTAGTGTAGAACGTCATTTGTAAAAGAAATACAGCCCCGAGACAACACGGAATAACCATTTAAATAGTAAAATAGAAGTTTATGTTGATCGATCCTAGTCTATTAATTGCGAAGAAACTGACAACACGCGCTGATACAGGCGCCTCCTTCAAGTTCAGCCCGCAAAACAAATTACTGAATTTCTGGATCCGGCAGTGGAAAGTAATTTTTGTATATCCACCTACAAAGTGACTGCAGAGATCGAACGCATCGTTATGACCACTGTGCATGGCTGTAGGGGATCGTCTGTCAGTATTATGGTACTGAGCCCCCCCCCCAACACAATCCATGTATGCAGGGCTAAAGTCATACGAGTACGAGCCATAAAGTATATTTCGCTAAACCAGGCTAAACAAGACTCCTACTGACAAACAAGGTAGAAGCCGTTGAAAAAAATCTTGATTTGTACAAATAATTGCATAATGTCAATACTAATGAATAACAAAGAAAAATTAAGATTTATTTAACTACGCTGAGAAAGACAAATATTCATACTGAGAAAGACTTGCGAAAATAAATGGCGACAGACTCCAAAGCATCATGGGATATGGGCAGGCGCATCACAGTTTTTTTACCTAACTACAAAAAAAGATCGTGTACCATTTTTACCAACACCTTTAGAGCAAATCCACCTAAGAAACAAAGAAACGAATGAAAAACGTCTAGAAACCCAAGTTATCATCCTACGTTTTAAAAAAAAAGTGACTGAACAGTTTCTGAGATATCTTTATCTACGGCTTATGGCTTATGGTATACAGTATACAGCATGCGAAAAGTGATGTCATTAGTCCGTCGAACCGTGACTGCTTTTCTCAACCCAGGACAGACACCTGTTATTACATATGATCAGACGCTTTATGCCATCGCAAAGACAGTCCAATGGACATGGCCTGAGAAGTTTGGAGATAATAAGCTACTAGTAATATTAGGTGGGTTACATATTGAAATGCCGTTTATTAGCCTGATCGGATCCTGGCTTAAAGACAGTGGGTGGATTCAAGCTCTAGAAGATGCCAGAGTTACAAGTAAAACAGCTGCTATACTGCAATGCAGTCGTGTAAAAAGATATGCGCATGATGTCGCACTATATTAAAGATGCTCATTTCCTTCATAAAGATGTAGATTTTGAAGTCTTCTACCAGCAGTTTAAAAACATTCCTCAGGTTAGATACTGGTCAACTGCTTTAGAATTGGAAATATTACTGCTCGCATTTGTAAAATCACTCACAGAGGGGAATTTTCCATTGTATATTGAAATACATTGCTGGATGGGACCTTGGTTTTTTTGCAATGCAATTATGATCAAAAGCTAATTAAGAGGCCATGGGGATGATGTGAACAGTATGTGCGAAAGTTAAAAGGCAGAAGCTGGCGCCAATGACTTTCAACTTTCTACGTCAGTATAGAGCTT